GTGAAACTGCCAAATTCGAACTGGTTCACCAGTAATAAACTGCAGCTTGTTCTCTCTGTTCGATGGATAAATGTTCCTACTGTATGGCCATCTCTAGGGTGTAAACACACGGCAGAAAGTCACCCTGTTGCCTTGTTTCAGTCACTTCGGTACCGGTTGGACGGGCACCGAGTGAATGTGTTTTTCTGTGTTGTTCTGTTCTATGGGAACGTTGCCTCTGTCTGTTGAGGTGTTAATTCCCAATTGGACGTGCAAATATATCTAGGTCTAGCTCGGTAATTTTGCCACCGTGAGACTTACCGCCACATCACATTACCGCTGAAAAACATCAAACCGCTTACCACCGAAAACGTTACCGCCATATGGCATTTACCGCCTCGTCTGTGTCCGCCTGAAAAAACCATTGGCAACCTACCCCTTGGAAGTATGACAAAACGTTTCTCTCGCTCGGATAGGCCAGCATTGGCTAGTGATCAGGTCCGACAAAACAATCGCTCTTGAAGGACATCAGTAGCACAACTACATTGTTAGTTCGTGCTGGCGCGTCAAAAAGCAAAATGCTCACCAACAAAGATTCTATGGGCGGAGTTAAAACCATAATTCGACAACAATACAGTCGTAAAAACCACACAATATGATGAGTCACATGATCACAAGGAGGGTGTCTATCGAATTGCGTCGTTTTTGTTCGGTTTCTAGACCACACGTCGGGGAGAGAGACATAAGAAACGCACATCATCTCGTCAGCCACGTTGGCTAACAGGCACTGCATACAACTCCGACCAAACCCTCCTGTCCTCCCGTGAAATTCTGCAGGAGTCTCGAAACTGAACAAGTGTCAAAATGGTACACACCGTATGACTACAGTACACCCACCGACTAAGCCCCGAATTGTCCCGAACTCTTCCCCCACCTTCGAAAGAATGAGGATGGGAGGGTGGGAATGCTGGTCTGCCGCCACCTACGTTGGGCGGCCACTGCTGTTCTCTCGAATTGTGTCGTTTATGTTTCGGTGTGTAGGCCACCACGTTGGGGAGAGAGACACAAGAAGCGCATCATCTTCGCCACAATAGTTACCAGCCGAGGGACGGAGACTTCAAACGCAGGAGCAGTCCCGAAACTGACCAAGACCCCAAATGATACATGTTGAGAAGCACGATGACCACTATATGTACACCACCAGCTAGCGTTGACTAGTGATTTAGTCGTCATCGTGCTTTTCAACAAAAGTTAATGTCCGCATCTGGTTTGGCGTTGCAACCACGAACACGCCCCCCCAGGGTTGCTATCCCTGTGATCAGCGCAGTCTTGCCCGGAAATCGCCATCGGTACAAGAGGTTCATCGGCTTAATTTGAAAAGTCTCGTAGACTCTTTCTCCTCATGCATCGGGCGCACAGAAACTTTCGCTCGAGGGGAGATTCGAACCCCGGACGTTTTCTTTTGTTGAGAAGCACGATGACCACTAGACCACTCGTCCATTAGCTGTTGTTGTGAAGCACGATGACCACTAGTGGTCTAGTGGTCTGTTCTAGTGCTCTAGTGGTCATCGTGCGTCTCGACAAAAGCTACAGTAAGGCCCGGGGTTCGAAGCTCCCTTCGAGCAAAACTTCTTCGCGCCCGATACATGGGAAGAAAACGTCTGAAGAAATAGGCTTCGCAAAATAAGCCGATGAGCCTCTTGTACCGATAGCGATCTCCGGGCAAGACAGCGCTGATCACAGCGATGGGCTTACTAGAGGTCTGGTGGTCTTCGTGCTGTTCAACAGTACACACCATTCGACTACACCCACATCGAGGTCGTATGTCAGATTTACATATCCATTCCCTGTACGGTTCCCTCCTACGGCTGTCTGATTGCTACCCTGCTGCCGTATGTAAGTTTACGTACATAGCACTCTTCGCGAATCCTCTAGAACATCCGGCTCGTAGACTATGCGTCCGACTTTCACTCCCCTCTCTATGAACAACTCTTCTTCAGTATTTCCACGTGACGCCAGAGCCGTCACCTCTCTGACCGTAGGCACTGCTGTAGCATGCACTCCAGAGGCTTTCTCCCAGACGTTCGCATCCATGCCTCAAATCTCGCGGAGGGCAGCGCTGTTCTTGAGTACTCTCACTGTTCTCCCGCAGCGATATGAAGACAACGGTGCGGAATCAGTTAACCGTCGCAAGGCGCGACAGCTCCACCGTGAGAGCCACTCCACCGCCCCTTGCTCTCACGCCTGAACGCAGTCCAGTGGCTTCTTCTCGCCAACGTACCTGAACATATTCCCTGTCTGCTCTTGATCAGTCTTGTGTCCTCTAGAAATCAGCTCGACACGATCTGCTCTTCAACGGAAAAAGTGGTCGAAATTCAGTTGCTTATCACCGGCCAACAGGGCCAGATCTGCCCTAGTCAGGCAGTCTTGCCGCGCCATCCGCAAACACCTCGTCGGACCCGGTGATGAAGAGATAGCTCGAGAAATCACAGCCGCATCACTCTTCCGCCATCCCCTCATTTGCTGCATCGTGCTTTCCCCTTCCAGCAACATACTCCACGACACAGGCAGACGTATTGTATGCATACGCGGGGAGGAGTTACAAGGGCCACGGTTCCTCGTAATCCCCCGCGTTGCAAACTCGAGCATCGAAGATGAGAGATCTATGCCCTGTAGCTCAATGGGCACTTCCAGCCTATGAAAATGCTGCACTACCGCGAGTTTTTGCGGAACTGTACGTGCTACTTTAAGTTACCCTCAGACTCGCACCTCCACGTTGCGAAATGGATAAGCTTCCGCACATTACGGAATCGTATTACTTCAGAATCTGTGTCTTGTTGACCAAGCCATGACAAGGAAACTTCAGTTTGTTTTCTTCAAGTCTTGGTCAGGGAGACTTGCTGAAAAGGCTTACGATTCCCCACGACCTTCCACGCACCTTTCCAAGGATGGACAACCAAAATATTTCGAATTTTACACAAGGGGGGGGCTATTAGATAAAATTAGACCATCTGAAGAGTCAACGTTGACTCAGTGGTCTAAATGGTCAGAGCTTTCTTACACAAGGCTCCACGCAAGGGTTCGAATCCCAGTGGTCCACTTACACAAGAACCGCCATTTGTTTACCAAACAGCAACGCATGGCAAGGGGTCCGTCCCCGGAGATCCCTACTCTCGATCCCAGTGATTAAAAAGCTTAACCCCATGTGATCTGGCCGGGTGCTAACGAGCTCTGAGCATATCTTTTATTTGATAAAATTAGACCATCTGATCAGTCAACGTTGACTGATCAGATGGTCTAATTTTATCAAATAAATCAGATGGTCTAATTTTATCTAATAGGGGCATCATGTCGGTTGAGCCAGGCTGATGGGAAAGTGTTTCTGGGTCTGACTCGACTGCATTAAGTTGCGTCTGTGGCTTGGCTTTGACACAGTGAGTCTACGTAGTTTTTCATTTAAGCGCGAGACAAGCTACGTACTTACGGAAGAGCTTTACCTTTTGGTGTCGATGCGCAAATCGGAGCTCCTCGGGGAGGATGAGAAATGGTACGATGTACAGAGTGTACAATAGTTTTAAGGCACTCGTGAAGGAGAGACCGGGGCGCATCGGCCCGACTCTCTACCAACGAACTGGTCTTCACAGCCCCAGTGCTCGCCGTTTGGTGGGTGGTCCCGAAAAAAGTGGAATTCATTGAGCTGCCAAGCACCCCTCTGCAATATCGCTACTCGACAGAACAGTCCAACGCCCCAAGAAGGTATGGAGCGATATCGAATGGAAAAATGTCGACCTTGCCAGCATCTTTTGCCCTCGCCAGCCTCACGAGAACGCGAAAAGGGGGCAGTATATAGTATTTGATTAAGACATCCCTCCTACCCTACATCCAAAGGGTCGCGCTGCGCTCGCTTGAAAGATATAACCTCCCCGGTCCTGAGAGCGATCTCAGCGCCGGCGAGGTAATATCCTTTGCGCGAGGTTGTTCTGCCGCCGCAGGAAGTCCTGCCTACAATACCTGCAGTACTGTAGCCATGTTCTCACCGAGAACAAGAATGAAGAATACTTTGAATCTCGACATGCGTGTATGCACGAGTGTTCCAGCCAAACCTTTTCGAACACGTGAATAGGGTAACGTGAGGCAATGTGTTTGAGTTCTCACCAATAGCGGATAGAACGTGAGCCTGGCCAACCATTGTTGGCGAGCTGGGCTATTTCATCGCAGAGTGAATGATGAGTCGTTGGTCTCCACGGAGTAGAATCCGGACTACAGCAAACTATCTAGTTCTCCAAACCCTGAGACTGTCAGCTCCTGTTGGTAGGGTATCACAATTAATACTCAACTTGCAAACTATTGTACGTGAACCCTCCCCTCTTCGGCTTTGTCACGTAGCAGCATGTTTTGACGGGTGGTGAATTCCTCTCGTATATGAACCAATACATGTAGCACTTTGCGCTTTGTACAGCTTACAAAAATTGCTACACATCCTTACAAAGCTCATTTTATGGGTTGCTTGAGGAAGCGTCTAAACGTCCTTTTTTGTAGTCCTACATGTGCCTTGTGGGGTAGCTTTGGACCGGCAAAATCGGAAAGGGCGGGTAAGAGCTGGTGCTCCATTTGGTTTGAAAAGCCCGCAAGCGTTAAAAAGCAACCTCTGCAGAATATACTGGTGACGCGCTCTGACACCGCAATGAGACAACCACCACGTGCGTTGCCCTGTCCATCTCGACACCTTGTTTTCACCGCCCGCTGTTTCCGGGCGGGATCCCTCTTCGTCTCTTCGGGCGGGATCCCTCTCCGGCTCTTCTTGCCACGCTACAACTCTCCCTGCTGATAGTGGCTCCAGCACCCTTCCGTTCGGGTCGGTAGCTGGCGGCGCTTCGGTCATCCACGCCGGCGCTGTGGAAGAGAAGCAGTGGGAGGTGCTATTTTCCAACTTTCAGGAAGCCCTAGCGGAGGCAAGCGAGAGGCGGGGCGCCAGGCGCACCGCGGCTGGGGGCAATCAAGGTCACCAGCGCACACCCGCCATGATTTCTGCTCTGCTGAAGGACGCCAAAGCTGCTCTCGTCGGTGATGACACGGCCCGGCACCTTCCTGCAGGGGGCTTCACCGATGTTGGTCTTCACACCGGCGGTAGTCCAAGGGACACAGCATGGGCGCTCGCTCGCGAGGTTTTCAAGGTGAGCAACAAATGGCATCCTCACGATTGGTGTTGATGCATATTTTTGGGTGCAGGGTGCCCGTCAAAAGCCTTTCGGTTTGAAGCGGGCATGCGTTCTGGTGCAACGAACACTTTGCGACATGATTGTGATTCGACCAATCGGATTTTGTTGTCGGAAATGTATGTCTTTGCTCTAGTTCTACAAACTCAAGAACGTGAGCCGACACGATGAGTTTAGGCGTTTTCGCTGTTGTAATCTTTGCGGTTGCAGGCACAACAGACGCTTTGTCTGTACCGTCTCTCAGCTCAGGCACTTGCATGGTGGCGAAATATACCATTTTGGAGAGCGGGTAGTTCTTCCAGGCGATCATGTTCGTGCCCAGGAAGACTCCCAGACAGGGAAAACAGGGCACCTCACGTTGTCGCGCCCATCCATGTTTCACACTGGTGTTGCCATCGGACACAGGTTGGTTTGATGCGCCGGGTGGGCGGTCACGCTTCCGACTCTGCGCGGGATGTCGACCAGCAAAAGCTTGAGGTGCTGTTTGCGTTGGTGATGGCCGACCTCCACTTGTCGGTGCTCGAAAGTCACCTCCGTACATTGTCGGGGGCGGCGGCGGACGTGAATGAGGGCATGGAGATGTTGGGTTTCTGCTCTCAGTTGGGGAGAGTGCTCATTGAAGACGGGCATACCATACCAGGGTTCGTGAAACGGATCGAGAAAGCCCGTGAGAGGCTGGATGGTGTGCAAGCAGACCAGGCGGACGCGGTCGCCGCGCGCTTTCAGCTGCACCCCGTGAACGGGTCACCAACCACTTTCGAAGGCGGCGAACCGAGGCTTCCGATCATCTGTCTTCCCTCCCCGTTGCGGCACCCTTCCACGGGCACGGGAGGTTTAGCCGGGGCAAAACATCGCTCATCCCAGAACCTCAAGAGCCTCCCTAAATTAGAGGAGGAGTGGTTGACGACGCTGACTCCCGAGAGCTTGGAAGCCGTCTTAACCTGGGCCGAGCACGAGCGTATGGTAAGAGGAGACTTACCAACGATTTTGGTGCTGTCAGAGGTGGAGAGATTACTGTACGAGACTGCTGCGCAGGAGGAGGTTGGAGCCGCCGCAAAGACCTTCGAACCCCAAGATTTAAGCAAGCTCGACCGGCTGGTTGACATTTACAGGTCGGCACTCGACACCTTCGTAGGTGCTCACGCTGATGATTGTGGACGAATGCTGGTTGAGCTACGGAGCCGCGAGACGTTGGTCGTGTGGATCGCGTACGTGGTGAGCTTCGCGGTCGCTCGCGCTCGGTGGTCTAGGCCGATGGAGGGATTCGGAGTCAGCCTGTGCCCAGGTGATCTGAAGCATCTCGTGCTTTCCGACAAGCTGGCAGTCGAAGCCGGGCTTAAGGTCGCCGACTATCTGCGTGATCACACTCGCGCCAGGGGGGCGGTCTTTACCCTCGCCGACAACGGCTGTGCGACGTTCGCGCTAGCTGCCAAGGTGGGCAGCACGTTTCTGCGGCATTGGAAGGATGAGGTTGCGGCCGCCAATCAGCGGCGTGACAAGCACTGGGCCGAGGTAAAGTTGTTGCAAAAGAGACGCGCTGGGATCCGTGAAAAGATTCGACAGGGAGAGGGAAAGCTTGTCGATCAAAACGCACAGCTGGAGGCAGCTGAGCGGTGGAGGGACAGCAGGTCAGGGCGCACATTGTATGGCTCAGACAGTGACAGTGATGATGTATGGGGCGATCCTTGTCGGAGAAACAAGCTGCCCTCGTGTTTGTGCACACGGTGCGATGCATGGAAGGAGGCCAAGCGTTCCTGCGAGGCGACGGAGAGTGCCATTGCGGCAGAGGAAAAGAAGCTACAAGAGACGGCGGAAGTGGAACCGGTGCTGCAGCCTCTACCGGAAGATCAGACGGCTGCCTTCCGGGTGCTTTTTTTCACCCATATGCCCTCCGTATTTAGGTCACTCTCGCGCCTGAGCTTCCAGGCCCAACAGATGCTTCTTCCGCGAGAGTGGAACACTTCTCTTTCGGAGGCTGTGAAGCAACAGCCATGCTCGGATTCCTGGTCAGCGTACTACAACACCCACCAATCGTCGGTGTACCACACCCGCGAAGAAAGGGTACAGGACGGGGACGTCAAGCTAGGCTATATCGGTGAGGTCGGCAAGCCGGAGAAAATGGTAGACAGGTGTCTGAAGCCCTCGGATGGGGTTTGGCATCCCGACGCCCTCTCCCCCGGCCGAATGCTGTGGCATGGGGGTTCTTTCCCAGGCGACAAGCGCTTCTTCTGCTTCAACCCATTCTCGTCGAAGGTTGATCAGGAATGGATTTCGGAGGGATACACCGAGCAGCTGTCGGAGCCAGACGGTGAAAGCCTGCAATGGGCCTTGCCGCAACATGGGGTTGGTCAAACAAGCCGCGAGCGTGGGAATATTGCGCTCGCGACCCAGGGGGATGCGCCGGAATGGCTCAACAAACGACAATACCTGGCGTTTGGCGGGGTGAGGGCATACCCTTTGACCCAGTGCCGCCAGCTGATGTTGGTTCTCCGGGACCGCACGCTGCCTCTTGACCATCCTGCAGTACGGACTTTGGTGTCTCAAGCCCTGTTTCACGTTGGCGACCTGTCCACCAGTGTACCGTCGACATTGTTGTGGCGGCATGATCAGGCGGATGCGTTTGCAGCGCTGTTCGACGAGCTAAAGGTGGGTCACAGAGACAAACGCTTTGGTTTTCTTCGGGTTTGATCCAGATCCACGCACGAAGGCTGTTGGTAGATACGGAAAATTGCGAAGCGGATAGATATTGTTGAACACTGCATGGAAGGGATATACGTTTCGTGGAAAGCTTCTCTCGAGTGACATCGGGGAGAAATAGCTCATAGCCGCATCACTCGGTACACACCACCTGAGTTGTGTTTGCATGGGACAACTAACCGGCTTCAAAGCTATATTCTGGCAGGCACACGCTCGCACATGTCCATTGTCGCGCAAACTCGAACATTTGAACACCACGGGGTGTCAGGTGTAGCAAATGGTGTTTGAATTGGAATCCTCAAAATTCGAGGCACGTTTGTAGTATCTATTACCTTGGGGGCGTTGGGCGATACCGCGCGATGCGGTTCATGGAAGGGAAACTTCATCCCATCCCTGGCTCACATGTGCGTTTAAATCCCGTAGCGTAACTGCGGCAGCTGAACCGTTTGCTATACTCGGCGAAACGCGTTCGCTGCAGTAGAACACAGCATCAGCGAGCCTTTGGGCAATACTTTGAACCGCGGGAGGGTGTTTTGCATCCAATAAACATTGTTCGAAACTCGCGATGCCGATGAAAGCCTATTGAATCTACACTCTGAAAAACATCAAGGTGTTTGAATATTGGCTCCGCCCACAACCCACCCGCAAGGGTGCACATGAAACCCTGTTAGTGTCATTCCCATTTCGTGGCGATGAGTTTGATATGTGCGTTCACTTCTTGGAGCTCTGGCAGGTACAGAGGAGACGGAACATCAGATCAGTGCATGTTTGCTCGCGCTTTGCAGAAACAAAGAGTACCCTTGCTGCGTGAACAGAGAAGCGCCCTTTTCCGGAAAAATTACGCAACGTCGCCTGCTCATCTACCGATATCGAACGTTGACCCTGCGGTGACACACAAGCGCGAGAGTTCCCCCCACAGAAAAAAATACGCTCGACACAGGCTATCTTCGTGCTTATCGACAACGGAGAGTGGTGAGGATTAAACAAGAGAAGTAGAGATTAGGTCTATGGTCTGACTTGCATTTCGCCAATCGACAACAACCTCTTCGCATCGTACGTACGTGCCGAAGAGATCGAGCACACACCCCGGGAGTATCGGGCGATGCAATTGCTCGTTGACATGGCCGTCTATGTCGGCGACTGGCATGATGGGTCCAAATCGCTGGTCCGCTCGCTCTTGATCCACATCTCCCGGAAATGGGCGATCGACCTCGACCATCAGCTACAGGACGCTGCATCGAAGCACCCCCACGAGAGCAGCATCACGTCCATGAAGGCAAAGCAATGCATGTGCTACATGTACGGCGTGCTATGCTTTGGCGGGAGCGCTCGGCTTTCCGCAAGCGACGTGGCCAATCTGTGCGAGCTGTACATCCTAGCACACAACCGCCGCGTGTTCACGGACGACAGGGCGCCGGACAAGGAAAGCTCGTCGCTGTGGATTCGGTGTCTTGACGTGGTGGCTAGGCGGGTTTATGAGATCGTGCTACAGGCTCGCACCGACCCAGCCTTCATCACGGCCGCCATCCGACCCATTCTTGATGAAACTCCGGAGCAGCTGCCATGGACTCTGGTGAACGGGACGATGGCCTGTTTCGAGGCGCTGTTTGACGGCCACCTCTTTAGCGTCAACCTGCTGAACGGTGTGGTGCTGTACGACGGTGCTCCTCCGGGCTTGCTGCCACAACACATCGTGGAAGATGGCTACTATGGGCGGCTGTTCGGCGCGGCTAACTTTGAGGTCACCATGGCTTCAAACGGAGTATTCAGAACCACACGAGCGATCAGCGGTCGCTTCTACGAGTTCTCACGTGCGAGTCGTGAGGTGGTCATCGAGGAAATCGACGAATGCCGGGGAGAACGCCTGCAGCTCCTCCGGCATGATGGGGTTTGGGGGAAGGAGATCCCTGTGCGGCTTCGAAGTATGCATAGCCAATGGCTTTGTCGGGAGCAACAGGCTGTGGTGTTTCGCCCAAAGATCTTCAGGGAGCGCGGCGTGGCCTTCATCATGCGGTGCAGCGACTCTGGCGGTCCTGCGTCGTGTTACCGTGTGCCACCTCATCTTAGTGCCCGTGGGTGTAGGGAGCTGTTCAAGGGAGTGGAAGACAATGAGGGGCGGCTGGTCCTCTTACCGAAGGGCAACAAGCTGATGTCAGTGCTGGCCATGTTCGAGCCTCGAGAGACTGGTCCCAATGCGTTGATCCACGCGTATCTTCAGCCGAGCGGAGGATTGACGATCGAGCTACCGCGATTCGAACTCGAGTTCGAGGTCGACCCTCCTTCAGTCCGGCAGCAAGGAGAACATGGGGGGAGCGGAATCCGCTGCCTAAGCCACCGCGGTTATGAGCTGGCTCGTACCCAACAGTTTCACGACACTCTCCCAGGTCTCACCCGCTACCTTGTTCTAACCGGCCAGGATGGAGAGACGAGAGTGCTCGTACCACGTGGGACGCTAAGTGTGACAGAGATTGCCCCCTCACGCGTGCAAGTCGAGTGCCCAGAGGAAGATTGCGAGGCCGCCGAGCAGAAGGTCCTAAGCTACAGCATGCACCGGCGATGGAAGCAACCGGACGCTTGTGACCTACCAGCCCGCCTCCAGCTGGCAGCAATGTTCGCCGCGACAGGGACGTCGCTGCCTGACACCCGCGCTGGCATGACCGGTGCCGAGAAGGCCTCGGAGCTCGTCCGCCAATGCTTTGTCAACCACCCTCTACCGGATGGCGACCGAGACCAACTGCTCAGGGTGTTGGAGTTGTCCGGAGAGAACCCGGCGTTGGCTCTTCTTTGTGGCGATCTACTCGAGAGCACCGCAGGTCTACATTTCCTGCACAGCGTAACACATTCGTTGACATTGCCTCGGGAAGCTTCTACCACTTTAGAGCACGCAGAGATTGCATACGAGTGGGAATCTAGGCACCTTCCGTGGAACCGCCGCCGGCGGCTGGCAGTCGCAGAAGAGGTACGGATGTTGGGTGGACGAGTCCCGATGAAGACGCAGAAGCGCTCGATCGAGCACCGTTGTGTCAACATCCCGCGTTGCCCGGTCAGCGCTCAGGAAGTGCAGGCGGCGGAGGCCGATGTGTGGGAAATGAAGGACTGCGGGGTGGAGGACGAGCCCTTGGCGGCTTCTCGTGGCGGCTCGAACCAGGCCGTGAGCTCCTACCCCCTCAACGTGCCTCATGACGCGGACACGTTGACGAAGGAGATGTATAAAGAGCTTCGCAAGAGCTGGGACGCCAACCGTCTGGTCCCTCCCCGCCCTCCGCCTCCATCGCCGGCGACGCTAGAACGCCTCCACCAGGCGCTTCGCGTTCAACAGATCAAGGTGTCTTCGATGGAGCAGCTTGTCTCGAGCTTCGTATTGCGTGCTCTCAACACCTTCGGAACCGACGGACATGCGGTTGCGCGGCACATGGAGGGCTTTGCCGGGCTTCTTCCGACGGCTAGCGTTGCCGACCTGCCTCCAATCGTGTGGGAGAACGAACTCATTTGGCAGTTCAACCCGTTCTTGATGAAGTCGGCGTCTTCGGACTTGATCGATGCCGTGGTAGCATGGCTCCGACTGTGTGTGCTTCAAGACAAGCTGGGGCGACTGGTGACGTGGTCGAGCACCTCGGAATCCCACGCGCTCATGCAGCAGGAGCTTCTGGTGAGATTCCAATTGCACGCGAACAACTATATTTTGTGTAAATCAACGGTGCATGCTCCTTGACTCGTGTTATCTTCTTTGGTGTATTTGTAATTGCCCTGGGTATGATGCAACCTGTCTGGCATGTCTTTGCGGACCGAATCTAATTAATGCCCCGGGGAGCGTTTATTCCGTAGTCTCGTAGACCCAACGAGCTTTCGCAGGCAACTCAGACAGAGCGGCAGAATCAGCTCGCAGCGCCACTGTTCGTTGTTTTTACATGAGGTTGGGTGCAAGCTTCCGCACATGGGTTTTGGTCGTCAACAGCCTTGCTTGAAACTGGCACCTTTAGACATGCCGATTTTTTTCTGTGCTTGCCGGTTTGTCGATCATGTGCAGGGTCACAACATACACATCAGCGAAAACAAATTGAAAAGACCCTGAAAATGTCCCCGGAAATTATTTCGGCCTGCCGGTGAGCGCGTTCGACGCGAAATCAAAACACACACAAAACGCACACACAAAACCTCAGCACTGTCGTTGTAAATTCAGTAGCATACACGCGGGCACAGGTGAGCGATACACCGTGCCGTGTCATTGTTTCTGAATCCGCCCAGTGAGTTACCTTTCGCACCGTCGTTTACAAAAGCACTCAAGGACGCCATTTCCGAAGAGATTTGATGATCGCCCGAGGGGGCGTTCTCCCCATGCTATACTGTACGTTTGTTGCAAGTGACATTGACAGTGGCAAGGCTTGGCGCGCAACTGAGAGAAGAGCGACACGGTGGACTCCCCCGCCTGCCACAGGCCACTTGTCTTGTTTATTAGAGACGAAATTCATTCTGAGGGTAAAAAGTTCAATTTTCTCTTTCGCTTTTTCTGCAATGTATGGATCGTTAGCCGTCGACCTGTTACAAAACCTACCCTACCGTGTTCGATCCATGTCCGTTTCATCTCTGTGACCTTAGGTAAAGCGAACTTGGGATCCTGCGGAACACCCGATCTGGCTGGCCTTCGAAGCCGATTCCGGGCTGCAGGTCCGGCCAGCCCAGGCCGAGGTAGCCCTTCACATGATCGCTAACCCTGGCGACATCGTGCAGTTGAACATGGGCGAAGGAAAGACACGGGTGATCCTTCCCCTCTTGCTGCTGCACTGGGCAACGCCGTCCGACAACGCGGCGGTGGTTCGCTTGCACTTTTTGAGCGCGCTGATCGCTGAAGCTTACGAGTTTTTGCACCATGCGCTCACGGGGAGCCTGCTCGGGCGTCGGTTGTTCCTGATGCCGTTCAACCGCGACGTCCAGCTTACGCTGGAGGGTGCCCATGCTATGCGCGGCACCCTCGACCGCTGCCGTCGCGAGGGCGGGGCTGTTCTGGTGACACCCGAGCACAGGCAGTCGCTGTACTTGAAGGGACTCGAGCTTCGACACGTGAAACCGGAGGTGAGCGCCGAGATAAGGAGGGTGGAGGCCATGTCGTTCAGGGACGTTTTCGACGAGAGTGACGAGCTTCTGCACCACCGTAAGCAGCTGATCTACGCTGTCGGCGACCTCCAGAAGCTTCCGGGCCACGCGGAACGGGCTCACGCTGCGCAGGCGCTACTGAGGGTTTTGAAGCACCGACAAAGGTACGTTTCAGAAAAACCGAACCCCTTTGGGCAATTATGTTCGAGTACCTCACCAACTACAGTATTTCGGTACGATCGTTGTTGATATGTTCAGTGACGTCCCCCGCGACGCCCTGAGCGAAACTGTTGTACGGCCGTGCTTTCCCTCGATGCTAGCAGCAGGCACGAAATGGAACATACAAATGGTTTCTTTGATACCTTGTGAATGCACGTAAGTGCGATGCGATACACGCAAAAAGACAACGAGAAAGGAGACAGCAACTTCCAACTGCTGTGCGGTTCGTGACACCCATCCTGGAATACATTGAACAGGACCCCGTCATCCTTAGCACTACTTTTTTCCCTGTCGTACACCTATGTAGTGAGTATTGTGCACATATGTAGTGAGTATCCTTCCGGAGCATTGCGTCTCTTCCGATTCATGTTGAGCAGAACTCAACAAAAGTGAATTCTGCGGTTCTTTGCAGCCACCAGTGGCCCTTCCGTTGTGTGATTTTGAGTTACAGCTTATGCTACTTCACGTGAAAAACCAACGCCCCATGTAGGGAACGCACACAAAAACATGTTTTTCTGAAGAATCGAGCATATTCCTGTCGAATGAAAAACACCACCGGTTCAGCACATCAAGATATCCCGAACGAAGCGCTAAGCCGTGTACGCTGTCGTTCCAAAGGATTCGAGAGGTTGTGAGGCTTGTTCGTAAAGACGGGGGGAGCTTACTTCGAACACATGATTAATCACCACACGTGTGCATACTCCAACTCACTGGGCATTATTTTCTGCTGCAAAGCGTACCCCAATCTGTAATACATCGGTTGCCATTGCTATGCCCTTGTTGTATCATTACGATATCCGGAATTTTCAGGTACCCAAAGCTTCAGGCTTTGCTGTCCGATCGCGATGTTGCGGTGGAAGAGATGAGCTGTCGGCCGGAGCAGTTCGACCAGCTACGCCTTGTACCTGGCCAGGCCTTGGACGTTGTCGAGCCGATGCTGCGCCGGGAGCTCTTTAACGCGGTCTTGAGCGACCCACCGTACGAGATGAGGTGGCTCACCGCCATCGACAGGGCCTTGCGCGCGCAGGTGGTAACCCTGGTACTCGATGAAGAGACGAGCGCGGAACAAGCCTTGGAGAAAGGTTTGCTCTCCGAAGAGTCCCACTGGGAGCAGCTAATGGCCCTGCGAGGGCTTCTCGCGCAGGGAACGCTACTCCATTGCTTGCAGATGCGGCCGCGAGTGAACTACGGAGTGTCTCGCGTGGTTGGGGCGAAGAAGAGGCTGGCCGTTCCGTTTCGCGCTAGCAACACGCCGGCCGACCGTAGTGAGTTCAAGGAACCAACGCTGGCAATCACGTTGACGGTGCTGTCCTACTACTACGATGGTCTTTCGGAGACCGAGCTCCGCCAGGCGCTGACAACGTTGGTGGACGGGCAGGTGGCGGAAAGCGCGCAGGTCGACTACTACAAGGCCTGGCTAGCTGAAACGAGACCCAGCGATGAGGTCCTGGCGAAGATGGACGACGTCCACAAGGTCGATCTCACCAATGAGCCTCAGATGGAGCTGTTGTACGAACACTTCCGGTGTAACTTCGAGGTGGTCAACTTCTGGCTGAACTTCAATGTTCTTCCTAGCGAGACGAAGCTCTGCCCGGCTTACATCGGCACTAACTCCTGGTTCCTCGCCGACAACCCAGACGGCGCGATATCAGGGTTCTCGGGCACCAACGACAACCACAGGCTTCTGCCGCTGCAGGTTCGCAAGAACCCCGACGGTTCACTGCCGACCCTTGCCGGCACCAATGGGAAAATGCTTGACCTCATGCTTCTGAACAGGCGCTACATCACACTCAAGGGGTCGAGTGAACCGAGGGGCGGTGGGGGTGGTGAGGCATGGAGGAGGCTTCTTCGCCTCGCGGTGGAAGAAGAAGCCCACGTGCTTGTGGACTGCGGCGCCCTCCTGGGGAGGGTTTCGAGCGAGGACGCGGCCAGATTTCTGTTGTCTTCGGAAGGGAGCCTCCCCGAAACGTTTCCCGGGGTTGTGTTTTTCGACGCGAGCCGGGGCACCGCCGCCGTTGGTGGGGAGTGGATGGTGCTCGACCGGGTAGGGCGCTCTGTGGCACTCAGCGGATCCCCCATTCGAGCCTCCGAGGCGTTCGCGATCTACGATGAGGCCCGGTGCCGGGGAGCCGATCTGAAGCTATCTCCCGATGCCACGGCCCTCCTGACGATCGGGCCCAAGAATGGCAAGGACAAGGTCATGCAGGCCGCCGGCCGACTCCGGCTTTTGGGACGAAGCGATCAGTCCATCGTGTTCGTCGGCACCCCGGATGTTTCCACCAAGATCGAGGAAGTCACGGGGATCTCGGGCCCCGACTTAATCTCTTCGCAGGATGTGCTGGCGTACGTCATGGCCAACACTGTCCTCGCAACGAAATCTGGTTTACTGCCGTGGGCCAACCAAGGCCTGCACTTCTCAGAAACGTTCGGGAGGGCCGACCGCGCCGAGCAGCTAGAGGTGATGACCCTCGACGCCGCCTACGGAGGGGCATACAGGCGGATCTCAGTCCACAGCGCGGTATCCGCGGCCGTGGGCAAACACAACGCCCGTTTCCGAGGCGATGTGCACATGCCCGAGCTGGCGAAGGAGATTGGGTCGAGGACCGAGCGGTATGGCAAGACCGTGTTGGTTTCCAGAGATGAGGCGATCGGAGGCGAGTGCGAACGGGAGATGGAGCTCGAGCAAGAGGAGGAGGAAGAAGTGGAGCGGCAGATAGCAAGGGTGGAACCCCGCAAGGAAGTGGATTGGGACTACGCTGCAGCCCTGTCAGCGCGCCGGCCGCCGACCCCGATTGTCGAGATGGCAAAGGTGAGGCCGCGACTGACAGCGGATTACTGTTCTCTAAAGGTAGTTGGGGGTTAGTGGCGATTGTTTCTTTCTCTCCTTGACATTATTTGGAGGAACATTGCCGTGCACACCAGGATGTCTTCAAGTTCTCTCCCGCAAGTGAAAGAATAGGCGCGCTCAGAATTTCGAGCTGACTACCCCAATAGTGTTTTTTGCGCCGATTTCTCTTATTCTTAGATGAATTATGCGGGAGGCAGTTCCTCGAACAATCTCGCAGTCATCCCGTCGGTTGTTCTCTCTCTTTGTAGCCACTGACACGGAGTTCGATATCCTCCGCTCGTGCACAACAAAAGATTGATTGACATGCCCACCATCTCTTGCTCATGCCATGGAAAGCTTAGCAAACAATTGGGATGGCGACGTAGGAGTCGATGCATCACATTGAGTGCTGTACCTGGCATTCTAACGTGGTTGTACAGGAGGCCGAGCTTCGCTTGAGGTTTTGGTACTAGTGGTCTGCACCCGTCCCTGAATAATGCACACCGTCGTCGGAAATTCAACCTAACTTACCGGCTTGACCACGCTCAGCCCGCAAGGGAATTCACATCGTGGGATATCTTTTACGTACCCTGACAGACCGGCCGCAAGGCAGAAACAAGCCAAACAAGTTTTCCAATTGCCGTCATTAAATAAATGTGATGCGAAGATTCTCCAACGGTAGCAAACTGGCTTCGACAATGCACACGCGAGGTTGGAAATTACGTGAATTGCAAGACAAGTAACTATTGATGTAATGTATGCTACAGTACAGCAGGAAGGGCAACGATGCGAAACCGTTTCCATGACTGTTTTGACTCGGTATACGGATAGTCTGTCAGCCACCATCTCCAACAAGTGGAACACCAACCAATTCCAAATCCAACAATTCCCCAAACCTCGAACCGACAAACAGGCAGTGCCTTTGGCCCGAGCTTGGAACCGGCTAGCCAAGGAAGCCCAGATCTCATCCGTGGACTCGTCGGCGGAAACGGTGTTCTGCACGCGGAACTTCTTGTTCGGGACTGCGAACTTCGCGACAATGTCGTCGATTGACGACTACTTGCGCCCGGTGGATTCGGCGCTAGTTTTCACGAACGGAGACATGATGGTGCTTTCGGAGCGTGAGACTAACGGGGTGCTGCTGGCGCTTGCGACGTCTCGCGGGCAAGGTGACACCGCCAGGCCGACGGCGAATCTAGTGCACCTCTCGTACGCCGGAGTCGAGAAAGGAGAGCCCCGCATCAAGACCAACCCCCTCATGCGTGATGCCGTTCTCCTTACGCGAACGGGGCACGAGGCGCTGAGCTGCGCGGCGCTGGCGAGGATTTGGGTGTTCGGTGGAATCACGACCGTCCCGGTTGAAGGCCGGGAGGCTGTGAGGGGGCTGGTCAAGGGGAAACGGCTTGCGGTGACGCACATTGTGGCTGCTCGTGACCACATGCACATGCTACCCCGGTCCGATCTCGAGCGTCTCCTGGCGTAACGTATGACGGGCGCTCGCGAAGGTCGCGAACAACGGGCCGTGTTGGCCCCTCACGCAAGGTTGAGAGCTTTGCCTGGCGACGAGAGGACACTTCGAAGAGATGCGAGCGAGTGGGTCGATTACCGGCGGCGTCAGACGTGATATTACGCCATTGACACCGCCCGTATGTCGAGTCGGCCCTCGTATCTCTTCTCTGTGCCATTGTAGTTGCCGTTGTGGGAAGTTGGTTGACAATGTGTTTCGGATGACCCAAACACTGGGTATGCTGATACATCAAGAAGTGGCCGCGGGACAAATAGCATCTCACGACTAACTTTTTTCGACGCCGAAATCAACCCTGATGGGTTGTAGTCTAATGGGTTGACTTCGGCTTCGAAAAAAGTACGCGTTGTAGCCAGCAAGGAGAGGGTCATGGGTTTCTCGGTGTCGCTTTTGGGTAGTTCATTTTAATGATACATGTATGTGCAACGGCATGCCAGGTGCTTACGGCATGAACAAATGTGTAGCCATGTGAGATTGGCTGTTCAGGCATGTGCGTTTTTCAGGCGAACTCCTATCCGCACATATGTCTGAGATACGCTAGAGTGCCGCTCGAAATGGTAAAAGGCCGGGGAGGTTGACACCTGCGTCCAAGGTTTTACGCCTAGTACAGGAAGATTGAAAGTTGCGTCCAATGCAAGTACAGTATGCCCAGGCCCTTCCTTTAACTAGCGTTTTCGTTTCGGAGTGTAGCTGTTTGGGGTGTTTTCCCAAGGAGTTGTCGCTTTCGCTTGTAGGACCTTGAGGTAAATGTCGTCCGGCTCGCACCATGCCGGCATTTGTGGAGTTGGACTATCAAGAGGCGTCAGCAAGCGTTCAACTATATTTCCTGCATAGTAAAAGTGAAAGTGCTCAAGGGATCCCGGAAGGGCTGTGGACCACGTTTGGAAACACGGTTCGTTTTCCTAGAAGAGGATACCTTCGTCGAGGAAGAAGTCCGCCTCATCTGACATGAGCAGCGATGGCCCTGGAATTTGTGCTTCTCGTCTTGCGCAGGCGACGTTTTCGGGCACAATCCATTCCGATGGTGGGCGTCGGTTGTGCGATGTTGACTATCTTCGAGCAGGGGAGGGGGTGCGGCAGGGAACCACGGGCAAAAAAAAGAATAAGACTTTCGACATATGCATTTGCTTCAACTACGGTATTGTGTTTTTCATTCCAATCGCCTCGATTGATATTTTCTGTGTCCTAGCGAGGAAGATCCCGCCGGCACGACACGCGCTCAACGGCACTAGCGTCAGCTTGGAGCTCTTCGAATATTTACGGATCAGCCATAGCTCTTCGAAACCCAAACTCAAACTCTGTGTACCGTGTGGAATCCGAAAGTGTCCATTGTTCTCGACTCAACGTTTGGCTGACGCCACGTGTCTTTCGACGTCTGGTACGCGGCAGCAATCGTAAAAGCGACGATTCTTTCATTGGAGAACCCAGAAAAACTAACCAAAACCTTAACTTACACCCCTTTTCGGCGGTATTCCATTTCCCTGAGATGGACCAGTAGCGTCGTGTCGAGGGCGGCCGTTATGAGTCCCTACGCCACATATATATTGTATTTGTATGCTGCACGAACTCACTTCCACATCTGAGACTGCATTTCTCTCTCTTTCCGTCTCCCTCTGCCCCACTTCTGAATATTTCAAAGGCATGCTTTTGCGAAACAGGAGAGTATCTGAGAACAGTGTTGGTGTCTGCGAGTAGTATAGCTCCGGAGGATTTGTTTTATTTCATCAATCAATGCCATGATTAAATTCACACTGCCTCCAAGAACGCACGACGACGTGCTAGGCTCCTTTCCTCACACTCAAATTCTTGGTGATTTTTTCACGGCGCCCATTCGTGTGGGTTTTTGTCCCAACGGAATTGTGGAATGATCATGTGAACTTTGATAGAACCACCCACGGGAATAAGTTGACTCGCACCTCTCTCGGAAGGCTGTGTTGGCGTTCGTGGCGCCCCCGTTACCCTGTGACTCTGATGCCTATCTATCAAGCCGCCGACCTGTTGTCTCCCTCCCCGCCCCACCTCTTCCACCGCTTGTATTTCCTGTACCTCTTCCTGTCCTCTCTCGCAACGATATTGTCGGTGCCGGGGAAAGGGCTACGAGGATGGGGTACCCATGACGGAAATCATTGGCCGATAGTCGGGGGTTGTGCCCAAAGCTGTCGAGACATCGAACCCGAATGCGAAAAGCGCCACGCCGTGCGATATTTCTTCCCCTGTTAGGAGCCATCTCCCTCTCCTCAAATGTTTGTCTAGCCGAGGTACGCCTACATACAGCAGTTTCATCAATTCATCAATATATAAAGTGTGTACTCACCAAACAGGAGGAATAGACTAGTGAAACACAAGCAGATGCGGTGGCTTGTGGGGGGAGGGAGACATACTGTCCAACAGTCAGTGCACCGCGGATCGACCAACTCGAGGATCATGGATTCCCTGAATCTCCCCCTGGGACTTCGGCCCAATTTTATTCAAGGGCACATAGATATAGACACACAGATGAACTGAGTGTGTGCCCCTGAGAACTCACAACCAAACACTGACTAGCGGAAGGTCTGATACATGATGTCACATGCTACATTGCCTCACACAAGAATATACTACTCCTGACAAAATTGGTTCTGCGTGTCTCGCCGGAAATCCTGAATACAATGCACCGCACAACATGCGTTCCCAAGAGCACCCTGTCTCCCGGAACGTAATGGGTGATGGGTACATGTACGTAGGGTTGTGACGATCCCAACGGGAGACAGAGAGTTCGTTTTGATTTCCATATACATGAACAACAGTGCCTGGAGCTGGTCCATGTCTCCATCCCCTCAGCGCCCATTGACACCAAGCAGGGATAGCAAGAGACATGGATGGGTCGATGCCAGCAGAGCAGCAGCAGCATTCAGCATGGTGGTTGACGAACAATCTCCGGAGATATGTGTCGGGCCCGCGAAATGGTTTGAATGGGGGGTGAAGTGGAAATTGATAGCTTCTGTAGGGCCCCTTCGTACGAGACGACCATCCGATCCACAGCCACAGCCACGCCGCAGCGCCCGTGCTCGTGGGAGCGATGGAACGAGCTCAAGGAACTTCATCAATGAGATGTATCGCGGAAGAGAAGGTTGAGAATGAATAGAATGTCGCCAGCAAATGTGTTGGGACCCCTCGTGTCGGTTGTTGATCGGAGATGATGGTCACGTGGGTACGTCTTCTTCTCGTCGAAGCTGCTCGTGGTGGTGCCTCTTTACGCCACCGGCTTTGCGTAACGGTTTCGAAACCCCTTTGGAAGCGTTAAGATAGAACCGGGGCGGATCCTGGAGAGGGCGTCCCCCGTGTCACCCCCATCTCCCCGCCTTTTTGGCCCATCACTTTGAGCGGACGGAGAGAGTGGGTGTTCTTGCGAGGGCACACCAGGATCGAAGCCCGGCTGCCGGCTCTCTTCGGAGAACCTCCGCCGATCGATCCTGTTGGGCACGGGAGGACAAGACGCAATCTTGAGCGGGAGAGGGGAAAGAGCCGAGCAAGCGGAAAGGGGCAAGAGGATCAGGGATCAGGTGCGTGTGTAGGTGTGTTTCGTGTGGGCAGAGGTGTGCTTTTGTGAGGGAACCAAAGAGGGCAGGGTACCCGAAACGAGAGACGGGAGCGATCCCCGTAGGCGTTGGTTAGATTGCAGGTGTGCACGAAGCTCCCGTAAACCTGTACTGCTCTTCCCGTACATCGAATGTACTCCGCTCTCACACGAGGCTGCTGGTTGAAAAGAGCTGCTTGAAAGAGCATGAATATCTCCCACAATGCGTGTCCGCTGTTTGATCTGGAGCCAATAAATAGACTATGTTGTTTGCCACGCATTGGGCCGACCTTCGGTGCAATAACAGCAGTGTAGTGTAGAATATCATTAGGCTCGTTCTTGACGATGCGTGCGCTATTCCGCTGGCAGCTTTTGCGTGACGCCTTTCTCAGCACTGCTGCCAATATGTCGTCATAACTCTAGGGAAGCATGGCACAGCAGTGTGTTCTACAATAAAACTGAGCACACACGCACCAAACGCCAAATACAGGATTGACTTGTACTTCTGTTGCGTACAATCGCTCGTGAGTTCGGCGTCTGTTTTATCGAGCACTCATGAGTTGACTTTGACATATTCGATAGCGATTATGTACTTACTGTACAGCACGGGCCCGGAGATAAGAAACATGAATATCGGTTTGAGGCTCAGTTTATTACTTCATTTCCACAGTCGAGCACACAGGCTGTTATATCGAATTTAGTCTACATAGGATCCACCGCTGAGCTGTGTTTCTTGAATCATATTTTCTCACTTAGAAGTACTGTAGCCTGGTCGAAAAAATCCGAGCCTCTCAATCTTAACGAAATATAATGCATATCGTTTATTGTTGCTTCAATACGCGTGTCGGCTGTCCGACATCCAGGATCTGCTTCGACCCCTCCCCTTTCTCCCCCCATGACTTTCATTTCTCCCAAACGTAAATAGACAGCGAATTTCTGTCCCGAGCGTCACGGAGAGACTCTTCGCCAGCGGGAGAGCTCGCGGTTTCCCGAGATGGCGAGCTGGTCCAGCATCTGCTCGGTGGTCGCGCTGTGTGCGGTGCTAGGCTGCTTCTGGCTGTTGCTCACCCTCAGTCGGCGTCTGATGCTGCTTGCCGGAGCTGTCTTGGAGGGGGGGGTCGACCGCCTGTTCGACAAGGAGAACAAGAGGCGGTGTGAGCGTGTCCATGATTCCGGCGTTGACGGCACCAGCCCAAGGTCCGTGGGCGGCGCTCACCCGACGCGGCCGGGGAACCGTGCCAACTCCCAGGGCACGGATGGCGACCGCAGGTTCGAGAAGGTGCGACTGGCTTTCGACAGCCTCTTCGACGGCGGGGGGGTGGGAGTTGAGAACGATGACGTGGACCGTTTCATGGGATTGCTTACCGCCGCCATCGATGATGTCGTCGCCGCGGGCATCGCTGCCTCGGAGACAAAGATTGGGCTCGCCTTCCAGAGCCAGGTCACCCAGGCCCTCGAGGAAGAGATGGGGACGGTGCAGGCAATGCAGCGGCATCGGGAGGCGTGGTGGAAGAGGAAGCTCGACGGCATGGGGAGCAGGCTTGGGGGCGCGCTAGCCGCCGCCGTCGCTTCGCAGGAGGGCGCCATGGCCGTTCGCGAGGAGAAGTGCGCGGCAACCGTCGCCGCCGTCTGTGACGACGTCCTCCGCCTGAAGGAGCAAGCTGCCGACAACGCCGTTGCGGGGGAGGCAGCCGACGACGCTGCAGCCAAGGAGAAGGCGGCGGTAGCCGAGCTCACCCGCTCCATCGCCGAGAAGCAGGATAAGACGAACGAGCGGGTGGCGAGGGTGCAGCGGGAGATGCAGGAGTGCTTCGCGGAGGGCAGGCCGGCGGCGGCGTCCTGCGGCGACGGGGCGGGTGCCGCGACGGTGTCGCCGTCGTCCCTGGACCATACGGCCAAGCTCAACAACGTCAAGAGCGACATCGATTATCTCGGATCTCGCCTCCTTATCGTCGAGAACGCGGCTTACGAAGCGGACGAGATGCACGGGATCTTGTACCGGATCCACGAGAGCGTCGTGGAGTCCACCAGGGTGTGGGGAACAGAGCCGCTCGTGGCCCCCCTGTACACGGATTGGCTGGATAAATTGGCGAGGGCACAGGCGAGCGCACAGGCGAGCGCACAGGCGAGCGCACAGACGAACGCACAGGCGAGCGTACAGGAACAGGGGGACGACAAACGCTCAGGGCCGCGCCAGAAGACCAGGAGGGGAAAACGCGGGAAAAAGTCGAAGAAGAGGGAGGGAGTGGGCGAGGGGGAAGGAGAGGGAGACGACAGTGCCTTCAATGGATCCAACGGCATGTCTGGGGGTGGGGAGGGGGGACAGAGCTTCTCCACCGGCACCTAGAGCGGTAGCCGTTTGTAGATGTTCTTGTTTCATTTTAAACTGATTTTGCGCTCGGCAGATGTGTCGTTAGATTTTCTCCACAACACCGCTTGGAAGTTGCACTCATGCCAAAGAACAAGGTCATGTACGACTGCTGGTGGCTAGCGTGACGTACGTTACCATATCGGTTGTGCGTGTGCTGTGTGCAGATGTTTTATTTTGTTGGGCAGCCTCCCAACCGATGTGTTTTGTTTGCCTGTTGTTGTTCTCCCTTAGGTTCGGCACTTAGCATCATGAGTTTGCAATTCTCAGAGAAGAATGAGGGTTGTTGGGCGTTTGCAGGAGGTGAGTGTGCTGGACGGGAAATATTTGAGCACACGGAGCTTCTTGTTGGCTTTCTTCCAGCACCCTTTGCACTCGAGGGTTGAATGCTGTGACGGATCATTCGGCTGTTGCTGGCTCTCCAGTTGATGCATTTCATTCCAAAAGAGAAAACAGCAACGTTGTAGTGCAGCAGCAGCAGCAGCAGCTGCAGCAGCAGCAGTGGTAAAGGAGCTGAAACCATCTTAATTTTTTTTTTCCCAGTGGGTTAGACTCGACGGGCATGGAACGGAGACCGGTACCTTCGCCCTCTTGTTATTTGCCCCCGATGCTCCATCCTATGAGAAAACGAAACCAACTGTGCTGCCAGATTGTTCTGGGGTTGGACGACTTTTCCAGTTAGCCCTGTTTCCGTGCCACCGTACTTGTTCGAGGTCGGGTAACACTAGTCTTTTTTCATTCCACGATTCTCGAGCTGACACGTCTGGCGCGAGAGGGGAAACATTGGTCCAGGTTGCGTCTGGCATTGATTTCGCACTCAAGACTTGTGGTGGCCCGTGTCTTCGTCGGCGCGTGCCATAATTCCTGTTTGATGTTGCATTTCGTGCCAAAGCTCAGGGGTCAAGTGTGTTGCCTTGCCTTTACTTGTGCGCGTTGGGTGTACAAGAGGTATCCGGCTGCTGTTCTGCCAGAGATTCGCGGTGTTGTTTTGACCCTTGGTCGGCAGTGTAAGAAGGATGACCTGCATCTGAGTTTGTAGCACCAGGCATTGAAGGGAACAAGTCCCGACAGCGTCATGTTACGTTCCACCCTCCGGTGGCTGTTTCGCGAGCACAAAGCCCACAGGCGACAGACAACGCCAGTTTGAACACTAAACACTGCGATGCTGCCAAGCAACAGAGGGATACGTCTTTACCAAAGCCCGACGAAAAACAGCACCAATTGAACTTTGATTTGATTCAACCGCGAGGTACGATGCCAACCTCGCATCAACAAATGGATGGTGCAAAAAAAAAAATCAACAGTGACGGCGCCGTTTTCTCGATTCTTCCTCGATGTCCTGAACCGTCCGCCGGTCCTTCACGACGGTGCCGATCCGCACCAAGTCGGCGCTGCCGACGTCGCCGCCTCCGCCCGCGTTGGCGCCGGCGCCGGCGCTACCGCCGAGCGCGGGCATTGGCGCTGCGCTCACCGAAGAGGCCGAAGACAAGGTATTTCTAGCGAGACCAATGTGGACCTGGTTTGTGATGCGCGGTTGGACGCGGGAGGGTATGAATGTTCTACAGCCGATTTACCGCTGAGCCATTACTACGTCCGAGACATGTCGCTCTTTCCCTGTTCTAGTATGCTCTACAGAGTCACCGACAACGTTCGGGAGCTGTTGGCGCTTTCACCATGCGGAATTGTCAGGGAGTGCGTTGATTCTATTCATCCCCGCCCCTTGTCGGGGTTGAGGTTGTACTTAAAAAAAAAAACGATGCCGTATATTCATTGTCCTCTCAGGAAGGTTCCACCAAACTGGAGGAGCCCAACGCCATATCAACAACGACACCATCGAGAACAACAGCAACAGCAACAGCAACATTAGCGATGACGTCAAACAACAGCAACAGCAGCAGCAGCAGCAGCAGCAGCAGCAGCAGATGTAATGCAAACAAAGCAAGAAGAAGAACAACAACAACAACAACAACAACTACAGCAACAACACATCCCCGCAACAGCAATGACAACAACAATCAAGGATTTCACCCTCCAAGCCCGTGATCATGATGGTCCGACCTTACCTGCGCGTCCACCTGGACCTCCTCCTCTGGCGGCTCGTAGCCCAGCTTGTACAAAACCACACGTCTATCGTCCAACTCTCCCTCTGTTCTTGTGGTGATGCCATCAAAGTCTTCTGCGAGACTGTGCCTAATGCCCCAGACATGGTGAAAATGTAAGGTCAGGGAAGCAGCAAAGTAAAAGAAGCAGTGAGTTTCGTGTGTTTGGTCAAGTGATTTTCGTCGTTCTGAAAAAATGCCACTGGTACTTTTCCGACATTCGTGCGCTCATTTTCTTTGTCATTCCGCGTCCATCTCACAGACCGGAATGAAACGATAGCGGTCATATCACTGCAGAACGGCGAAAACAGAAAGAAAAGACCTAGTACTCCACGGCGTTCCCCCACATGGGGGAGCCGTCGAGGAGCATAGATGCCAGCCTCCCTGGTCATCTTCTTGGTACTCATTGGCCACTGTGGCCACGGCATCAAGCACCTTCGGCCGAATTCACAACGTTATCTTGCCGTTTACCTGGGAGCCCATTGTGGTACAAAACGAAAGCCCTGCACCAATTTCTGGGACTAGAAAGGGAATGTCCGATATCTCAGACACAATACGTAGAGGCAAGGTTTGTTATCGTGCACTTGACAGACTGTACCGCACCAACAACAACACCCAACAACACCAGTAGTCGCGAAGTGAAACAATCATGGGATAGAAGAAAAAAAATCCACTGACACTCACTGTATCGACCGAAGGCTCTTCTCGACGTGGGGGAAGGTGTGAGAGATGGCTTCGGGGTTCGTCGAAAAAACTGCTATCTTCTCTCGCACTTCCGCTTCGAAGTTCGAAACGCGCTGCTTGATTGCCTGATCCTGCGCCCGGTTCGCTCTGTCCACTTGTTTCATTTCGGGGAGGGTTTGTGCGGGAGGAGGAGGGGGGTTGCATGGATTAGGTGAGGGTCCTTTTTGCTAGTTTTGTTTCCTTGGGGCCGGGAGAAGCAAGGAATATTGGTCACCTGCGCCACAATTGGGGGCAAGGCTTTGGAGGGCTATTCCCCAACGGGGATTTGTTCGACCCCAGAAGTGCGACACAAACACATTTGAACGGCCGGGGATATCTCAACTGAAGAGCTGAAGAGCTGAAGAGCTGTCAAAACCACATAATAACACTGTGCCGCTCGCGCTCACCCGCTGCCGTTCCGGCCACGCTTTTGTGAGTCTGGTCCATGCTGCCCATCAGCGACCCCAAGAAACCTCCGAGCGATGCTGCCGGCTCCTTTTCTTCGCCGCCGCCGCTGCCGCCACCACTAGCACCACCACCCCCACTACTACTAACACTGTTTCTACTACTCGATGCAGCCCGTGGCGGCGGGGGCGCTGGCGTATTGGAGCTATTGCTGTATGCCAAAGAATAAGGCTGCTGCGGCGGCAGCAGCGGGGGTGCCTGTGTCTGGAGCCACACGACAAACAAGCAGAGCCATGGCAATGAGCGCAGTAACAGGCACATGGGGGATCGAGGCCAAAGATCCCATCATACAACAGTGCAGGGCCTGTGCAAGTACCTGCATGAGGCAGAGGGAGGTGCGTGGGATGGGAGGCGCACGTATGGCACTCAAGAGTTGGCGCTGAAACAAATGCGACCTATCCAAGGCAGACAACACGGAGGCTACGACAGCAGTGAGTCGGGGCTGAAAGCCCCAAGTGGGTGCCTTGCCGTTGTCGAGTCCACGGGAGAGATCCACGACCAACTAGTTACCTGAAATTTCACCAGGAATACATGCGATACCCGCAAGCAACAACATGCACAAGACAATAACTTGCGTGGGCGAAAGACGACCAAGAAGCGGGAGTTGAAATCGCTCAGCCCCGGCCACCTGGGCCACAGAAAAAAACGAGCATCCACAACGTGTTCCACACGTTCTACTCTTCAACCTTCTTCAATTATCGTTGTTGCTCAGCGCCAAACACACGCCTGCGTAGGACGGCCAAATAGCTCACCGCGGCAGCAGGAGACCTGGCTAGGACCGCGCCACCGCCACGTTGTTGCTGTTGTATCAACCCGACGATGCTCTCACCCGAGACATCTCCTGGGTCTGCTACTGTCGGGAGCAGCATGAGGCGCCCACCCCCCGGCAGCTTGACGACGCCGGCCTTCTTTCGCCCTGCCAGGTACGATCGAAAGGACCTGCAGCAGCAGTAGCAGTAGCACCGGCAGCAGCAAGCGGGTAGAGAAAATAGTGACCGGGGGGGGGGCACAGGGTTCACAGCAGCGGCCCTCCTGCTACGTAGTTTCGTAGCGCTGTGGTTCAATAATATCCCAAGTAGTGGGGAACGTTGTACTGTTACAGGTACATGCAGCACAGCAGCTGGAGCGGAACATGGGCGGGTGTGGGATCTTTGAGTGAATTCAGCAGGGAGGGAGGGGCACAGCGTTCCCACACACACAGTTCCGAACACCGCAGACGCAAATCAACCTCCAACCTCGATCGATCAACAAACCACCGAAAGACCACGCTTGGGACTCTCGACAGACGACGCAAGCAGGAGCGAACAAACGAACAGCAGCAGCCGTACAGAAAACAACCTTGTGAAACATATCATTCTGAGAACCTGCCCGAGCCCTGCCCTCCAGCCAAAGCACATATTTGGTTTGCGAAAGTATTTTGCTCATTGTCCCACAAAATGAGGTGGTGCACGATATGATATGATTATTTTTACGGACGATTGCCGATTGCTCGCTTCTCCACAACAAAGTAAATGCGGAAAGAGCCCGATACGTTTGGGGAAACCGCTCGACGAGATGTTTCCAAAGCCACCATTTTTGGTGTTGGCATAAATCTTGATGGTGGAGCAACCGAGCATCGAAAGTCGGTTTTGGGGGGGGGTGCCATCTCTCCGCCTCTTTCGGTAGTTGCGTTGAGCTGTCTCTGTATGCACATATGCATGGTCTGGGTGCCTACATGAACGTGCTCACTTGAGTTTGTCCGCATCCCGCACCGCGACCAGTGTCACCGCTCCCGCGCCGCCCGCCCTCGTTCCCATCACCGAGGCATCCCGGGTGTAGTCCTCCACCACGCATCGCGACGGCCTCCATTGGCGAGGGCAGGTAGAGCGTAAGGTTTGTTTGAAAACGGGGAGGGGCATGCGAGCGAAAAAATGGTGTGGTGTCGTTGGTTTGCCGAGAACCTCCATCGCTGAGAATCATGCTGCTACACATATCATTAGGGCATTGTTGATTTTCTCCCAGGCCGTCCATCATCGACAAGGCACCGCCACGTGCTTATCATGCAGCGGTATCGACAAGAAGACCAACAAGACAAAAAAAAAGGAACGAAAACGCCTCTGAAAAAAAACAACACGCCAAGGTTCGGGAACCAACACCTGCTTTATCACACCGCGTGTGGGACGGAGAGTGGAACATCTTCACGCCACTGTGTTTGTTCTCTCTGCCTCATTGTCTTCAGGGGGGCGTGCTTACAGTGCATCCGAGGCGGCAGCAGAAGATGACGATGAGGACGAGTGCCCGTCTCCCCCACTAGAATGAAGCGTCACCGTCGTAATGTACTCGTCTTGGGCGTTCCTGGAGGGTTTTCGGCAGCGTTTGGATTCCGGGTGGCAAGGGGTGGGGGCGCAGCGCGGCGTCGAGAGAAAGAGAGGGAGAGGGAGAGCGGAAGGGTGCGTGAGAGAGAACAGAGAGACGGACAGACAGGAAGAGAGGAAGAGAGGAAGAGAGGAAGAGAGAGAGAGAGAGAGAGAGAGAGGAGAGCGGGCGAGAGAGAAGTGATGTACAGCTGTACAGCTCCAAGTGCCCCGCACATGCAGCTGGCACTGCAGTTAGATACAAGCTGCTGTTACAGTATACCTGCGGGACATCGAACATTCATTCGTGGACACCGATCTTTTCCGTCCGGCAGACAAGGCACACACACCAGCGTTCTGAAACGGGGACAGTTCGATCTGCGGACATGGTGGCAGAACTCGCTGAGCGGTGAGGTCAGCAGCATTATCAAACTAGGGGCAGCGAAGAGCGAACTCTGTCCTTGCTGTGGAGAGAGGACAGCGGACAGAGCCAGGGGCACGATGGTTGTAGGTTTACATGGGGCATTCACTCTCTGTGGATCTCTGGATTCAGCGGCTGACGCGAACTCTTGTTACTAACCTCACAAAGATTTCAAGCTGTCGTCGTCCTGTGGCCATAACTCGCAACGAAAGGTTGTTCAGCGGAGTCGGGCACGCCCAGGTTGCTACTGTACTGCTGACAGACACAAATTCAACCAAGCGGAGTTCGTGGCTACGATGGAGGCGTGCGCGGGTGTTGTTTTTACAGTCCCGTGTCTCGTGCTCCCTCTCCCTCCCGCACACCTCACGCCTTCGTTCGCCCAGCCTCTCCGTTGTTGTAGCCAGCTTCCGTAACCATGGGTCGGGTAAGGAAGTATAAGAAGGTGAAGGCGATGGATCCCTTCGCCAAGGGGGGGTGTGGTGGCAGGATGGGGATGGGGCGCAAGGGAGGCAGCGACTTGGACAGAAACCTGCCTCCGGACGTCAAGAACCACCAGGCGCAGCGGCTCAACAACCTTGAAGGTGTGTGGCGGTGTGTGGGGTGTTTGCAGTCAACAGCAGTACGGTCGTGTGCCAGAGATTGAGATGGGCGGTAGAGGATCGGCCGGTGGGGGTGTTTTTCGATTATAATGATGTTGGTTGTTATAATAACTGCCTGCTGTTGACTTGCCTCGTATGTAGTACGAAGTAGGTCTTGATGTACTGCTTCGCTGCTGTTGCACTGCCGTACCTCTATAAAGTAGTATTGTATGCGTACTCCGTCTTGATTTCGGAGAGTCGTGTGCGTGTACGTTGGGAGGGAGGATGCGTGAAGGCAGAGACAAGGAGCGCAGCAACAGCAACCCCCACACATGTGGCGTGCTATCCCCTTGTTGTGTCTGCTTCATGATATACGAGAGGCAAAGGAACAGGTGCAAACAGTCATTCAGAGAGGGTCAAGTGAATCTCTGTCCTAAGCAGGAACTCCTGTCGTGCCCCACCACCGAGTGTTGGCTAGTTATGGCCTTCTCACATACGTGCATGTTGATGACTGCTACACTGCTGGTGGGAACGACGCTGATGTTCTGGCTGCCAAGCAGAGGGCAAGGACAAGAAGAAGAAGAACAAGCGCAGGCTGCCCCAGTGGGCGCACGAGGAGCTCAAGGAGACCGCGAAGAGGGTCCGCGAAGAGCACGCCGACCCGGGGGGAAAGGGACGCCAGCCCGAGCCTCAGGTGGGTAGCGTCCTGTGACGTGACTCTGCCGTTGGGCGTGTTTGTTTTGTTGGGATGTTCGGCAGACGAGATACGGAAAAGTTCGGAACCGAACTTCATCATAATCCTCTTGAGTAATTGGTCCATGCTTGCGCCCTTGGTGCTTTGGCAAGCACCGCAGGAGGAAAACTGTAGTTTGTTCTGTGTGTGACCCCGGCTGTTTCTTTTGAACGTAGTTCGAAAGATGGAGAACGGCGCCCAGAATATGTGAAACGACATGGGGGCGAGAAAAAATGAAAAAAGCTTGCCCTCAACGTTTACTTGTAAGCGAGAACCGGCTCTACCGTGTCTTACGTAACGCTCGGCGACGAGTTGTGCCTTCCCCGCCACGGCTTCGTAGGGGTACGAGCACCTGTGAGCCGAAGACTCCGGTGGTGATGCATTCCGCTATCGTGAGCAGCAGCCCACTCCCCCGCACACCCCTCGCCCTTTAGCGCCCCCTCCCAGATGTAGAAAATAACGGGTTTTCCCTGCTCTTACTACCCTCTTGCCTCCGTTTCCACCCCAACCCTTGCGCCATTTTGATCGCTGCAGCGGGCTGCGATGGAGGGGAAGCGCGAGGACGAGAGCATGCGGCAGTTCAACAAGCGTGTTCGCGAGGGCACGGCCCAGCTGCTCAAGGACGAGTTCAAGGAGCACAGCTCCACCAACAAGCGCAGGAAAAAGTGAGACACGCGATTGACTTGAGAATCAATCGTGAGAATAGTGTGCGTAGATGGGGACCGTTGCGCATGATGCTGAATCCTTCGCAGTTCCCCCAAGGGGTTACGTTGATTTATCGGCGGGCTCCGCGGTTTCAGACATTCTGGTTGGACATTTCTAACGAGAGATTGAATGCTGCTGTTCATTGAGGCAGATTCCTGGTGCTTTGGAACTATTTCGGATGGGGCTTTTTGTTTGTCGCTTTGAGGGAAACGGTCGTTTCGTAGTTTAGGAGGCGATGTACCTCCGCAAGGGAGGGTTTGGCTGGGGGTTCCTACCCGGGTGACAAGAAATGGTAGCTATGATACCCTGCCTCTCTAGGACATTTCTCCAAATTCGTCCTTCTCGACAGTTCTCGTCACGAAATGCATCTGAAGTTTTGTAGCACTGCTCGGCAGATGATTTCTGAAACGTATGCATATGGGTACCCGTTTTTCTTTTTTGTCTGGTACACTGCTGAGCAAATTTTTCTCTGTCCCTTTGTATATCTCGTCATTGCTCTCTTGACTCCGTCTCCCCACTGCACACCTTGCCTCTCATGTGCACACAATCGGCACAACTCCACCTCGTCGTCACCAAAAACCAACAACCACTGTCACGGTCTGTCCGTCTATGCAGGTACCTCGATGACAAGAAACGCAAGAACAAGCTCAAGAAGCAGGGTCTGTGGGAAGAGGTGCAGCGGCGCGAACGCCTCGACGAAGAACACGCCGCAGCAGGTTTCGATGGGGCGGAGCGAGGCGGCGGCGGCGGCGGCGGCGCTGGAGGCAGCGGTGTTTCGGCTGGTCGTGGCAGGCAGGGAGGTGGCGGCGGCGATGGCGGTGGCGGTGGCGGTGGCGGCGGAAACAACTGGGGGGTGTTGGGGCGGGCGGACGATGACGAAGGCGCGGCGCAGCTGCTTCAGAAGGAGCGCATCAGGTACGGTTCGTCCTTGGCCGGCATAACACAACGTCTGTTTTGCTCACTCGCTCATCGCAATGTTAATATTTTTTCTCCGTGGCACTGCCGGCACGAACTTAGCTACGACGCCTACACCCCATCCTTTCGGCTTCCTTTAGGTTTGGAGAAGTGGCGCACGCGCCCCCAGACCTCGCCAAGATTCCCAAGCCGCGGGGCTTCAAGGACCAAGGGCAGGCCAAGCCATGGGCAAGGCAAGCCGCTGCCGCGGCCGGGGGGGGGGTGGGGGATATTTCTTCTCCCAGTGGTGCCAGTACGGGAAATCAGGGTGAGAGCCAGGGGCAGCAGAAGAAGGGAAAGAGAAATAGGCGAAACAACGCGGCCGGGGGGAGGGGGGATGATCAGCAGAGGCAAGAGCAGAGGGCGATGCAGGCGGAAGCGAAGAAAGCCCAGAATCGCCAGATGGAGGAGATGAGGCAGAGAGTCCAGGAGGCGTACAGCGGGCTGAAGAAGAAGAGGCGGGCGGGGCAGACGCAGTTCGTCGGCAGCGACCTCTGAGTGCTGCTCGGCTCTAGCAAAGAAATTTCGGAGAAAATATGCGTCGGCTGCGCCACGTTGCTGGTAGCGCCTTGTCCCCCCGGCCAAACTCACGGGGAAAGACAGGAGGGGGGAGTGCGGACACGTTGTCGGGTAGTAGTCCCAGTGGTCTGTCTCACCCGGACGCAGGTCGTTAGCTGCAACCCTTGCCAGTGTTCAGCATCATCACTGCTGTGATGCTCGCTGATTGGGCAGAAACCGCTGTACCGGTGTAAAGGGTAGGGGTCGAGACGTAGGGTGGAGAGATTGTCCACGGCAAGCGAGGGTATTGTGAATCGAGGATTGATCTGGCGTCTCCCCCCTTCTCTTTGCGTGTCCGACAGTGTCCGGGATCAGATCCCCCGGAAACATAAAACATCAGTTGCGCCAGAGGACAAAAGCAAGGCAATAGTGGCGTTGGCTGATGACGTGGTGGTACAGCAGTGGTTAACCTTGTGCAAGTGGTGTTGGGAGATACCACGAGCTCGAGAGAGCAAAAGGTTGTACGCGTAGACTACACGTGTGGTTGCTGCTGTTTGTTGCGATCTTCTGTGTATCCCGACACCCGCGCATCATCTCCCCGTGACGATGATATGCGAACGACGGCTGTGGCGTAACCCCGAGAGTAGGGTTGGGCACGATGAGAAAGCCACGAACGTGGTTGGAATTCTGACATCCAGCGAGATAATTTTGGCCGGGATTTCAAGCTCAGCACCAAGGCGTAATTTTGTGCTTGGCCGCGGTGAGTTGGGGGAGAGAAGGCCCGGGAGATACCCGATTCAGCCCCTCACCTGCTCACGTGTTGAAAGCGTTTGGGGAAAACACGTTGAAGTCGTTGTGGGCAAACTACGCGCTTCCATGGGTGCCTTCTTGTGCACCGGAACCGGTGGTGGGGCAGCCTCCCCCACCCCCACCCCTCGTAGTCAACGATAGTCAAGATGGCCAAAACCTTGCACCCTGATCCTCTACTACACCGATGTTGTGTTATGTAGAGTACCGCGCGATAAACCTTAAAAAAATGACCTCGTCGCTGAAGCCTGCACCGCGAGATGCTCGTTGGTGGAGAGACGGAGATTGTCGGCTAGTATGAACTGCTGTCCAGCTTTTGTTTTGCGGAAAGTGCGCGAGATATAATACGGCGTGAATAGCTGCATATATCCACGCCGTGGAGACAATGATCCGGCGTGTGAGATTGTCAACCTCGTCCTTGATGGGTCATTTTTCGTTGAACCAAAAAGTTAGCGCTGCAGCTACGTCCGTGTCATGCTGGTAGGATGCCAGAAGAAGGCCCACGGCTAAAGATACACACATGATGGATACCCGCCGGGTACGCACGCCAGGTCCGCTCACCCGGACTTGGTATACCCTTGTAGTCCTCGTCGCCGTCCCCCCACTTTTTCTCCGAGCCTTCTTTCACGCCCCTCGAAAAACAAACTGCCGCCCGTCGGTCTGCTGCCGCCAGACATCTCACAGCACAGCTGCGACAATGAGCGAGACATCGACGGGCAGGAGGAAAAGCACGCGGGAGCGGCGCCCGCCGCCCGACTTCAACTCCTCCGCGCTTTCCCAGGCGAAACCTTCGGGGAAGAGAGCGAGGTTTGAGCTGCTGGAAGCTCGACGGCGAGAAGCGGCTGCGGCCGCTGCGAAGAGGGACCAGGCCGCCGCCGCTCGCGCCGCCGCGAAGGCCGCCGCGCCGAGCGAGACAGACCCGAGCGCTTTTGTCAAGGCCAAGCAACAAGTGGTCGGTGCGTTGTTGTGTGCTGCGTGGATGTTGTGGGATGCCGTTGCATTTGCCACGTTGACCCGCCGTGCTACATACTCGATGGATCGAGACATGCACAAGGGGTTTGCCTTTGATACTGCAACCCAGCAGCAGCAGCAGCAGCAGCAGCACGAGGCCCTTGTTGAGCGATATCTGTTTTCGTCCCGCTTGTTTTTCTTGAGGGGCGTTTCGCCGGGAGTGTTTCAATGGGGCACGACCGTACACGCAATGAAAAGCACCAGCTTTCAATCAATCACCAGCTTGTTTTTGTGTCCCTATTTTCAAACAACGGCCGCACCGTGCAGCATTCACGATCAACGTTCGTTCAAACTTGCCCACGAACACACCCTGCTTGTCTTCTTAAATCTTTGGTGTATGGCGGCATGCGCTCACGTCCCAGGGGAAACCTTACGGCTTGCCACCGTGCCGCTCGATCTGTGTGTGTTTTACCTCGACCTCTACTTGATTTTTCTTGGGAAAATGTGTGTGTGTACTCGCTCCATTGAGCGCGGCGTGTGTTGGTGTTTGGTGCGAATTCGCGTGTGTGCCTCTTTTTGTTCGATGATGATTCACCTTCGTGTTTGTGTGGGTGGATTCAGGTTGGACTCACTGCTGTGTATTCACTTATCCTCGGGGAGCGCACAGCTAGAGTAATTCACCAAGAAACAGCGAAGTCGTGTTTTGCTCGAGGCCTGACGAAATGTCCTAGGCCTGAATGTGCGTGTAGTGTGTTTCAAATGTTTAAATTACAGTTTTTTATGCGATCGGGGTAAAAGTTTTTCCGCGCCATCCCCACCCGTGGCGGTAGGTACCGCCCCATCCCCCCAACGGAACGCCGATTCTTGTTTGTTTTAACAGTTTGCGATGTTGCGGTTTAGCTCCTAGTTGAAGCAAGCCGCATGTACGAGGCACATCGTTTGCTATACATACTAGCGACAACGTTTCGTGCAATTTTTGGTGTGTTACATGCGCCTCGTAACGTTTTTTTATGATGATTGGGGGTTCGCAATAGAGGATTAGCTCGCGCATTGGGGTACCGGAGCACACATCTGGTGCCACCGGCGGGATCCCCATGGGTTTTACAGGACGTACACTACTGTTAGGGCCTGCTGTTTTAACGTTAAAAAAATTCACCTAAATTGAGGCCAAAAATAAGTTTCGGGGGGGTGCCGGGGGCCAAAGACGCTGATTGGTCAACAGCAACAACACGATGAGGCTTTCTCTGCCCGGAAAAGGGGGACTTCGATATTGGGTGCAGCAAAAAAAAATGCAAATTTATGTTTTTTTTGCTGAATCGAAGTACCCGAGTTGCACTGCGCCCCTATTGCACCCCCCGTGATGAGCTGAACTCGTGTTGGCGATACCCCTGACGGGACTGCATGTGGCACACTGGCCGTGCGGCACCCACACGCATCGCCCACTGCCCGCTGCTGGGAAATAGCTGTATTGCAATGAATCTGTGAGCGTGCCACTCTTTGCGCTGGTTGGGTTGCTGTGGAAGTTGCTTTTCAATACGTGCGATGTCAAAAGTCAACGGCCGGTTGTGTGCAGCGAGACAGTCCAAACAAAAAGTTGTAGAACAAGCCTGAGGATGAGGAGGCTTGGACCGCTGGCACTACTGTCCGCTGATGCTTAGCTTCCGTGTGGTGCTGATATATTTTTACATCTCCCGTGTGGTGCACAAGGTCTTCGCTCTACCTGGTTGGGTCACCACGTCACCTCGCGGCAGCGATTCCGCCGCATTTGGGTGTTGCCGAACTTTGATGTGGCAAAATTGCGTTTAAACGACGCAAGCCCTTTGTGGCCAAAAACCCATTCAGGTCCATCCAATTTAGGTATTCAATTTAGGTGACAAAAATAAACGTTAATGCACGGCCTTGCCCCCCCCCCCCCCGTAGCCTAGGCCGGCGAAAACCCGGCATATCGCTCCGTCCCGGCATGGCACCGTAGGGATGCGAGGTGTATGGTCTAACGACTACGGCATGCGTTTACACAAGTACTTCGTCCTTCCACCCCCCAACCCGAAAACCTCCTATATACATTGTATGGAGAATGGGTATGCTACTCAGGTGTGAAAATGTTCACGTTATTCGTCATAGCAGGTTGTGCGTTCGATTCCCTCTCTGGAGTTGTTTCTGCCTGTACAATTTACAATTTGGGGTGGAAACCGAACAATTCAAAAAACCCGGGAGTGTGCATGCAAGCTTTCGAATTTCAGGGTCGGACGACGGAAAGGGACGGGTGAACCCTTGTCGCGATGAAGAACCAAGGCAAACACCGCAGAAGGAAATGTGGAGCACTGTGTGTCGTGTGTTTTCGTCCCATTTATTATGGCGACAGCCCCCGCATTTTTCGTGGTGAGACGTGTGTTGCACGTGTTACTACCTACACTTTTCAGTGTCGTTCGCACAACTTCAACTATCCAGGATCACACAGGCGGTTGTAGACACCAAGGCTTTCTGTTTGTTTTATTTTCGTGCCCCACCTTCCTCCTGCGGTGCGTGGCGAATGTCATTTTTATCGCGAAAAGGGTCCAGCGGTCCCTTTCCCTCGTCCACGGTGCTAACGTCGAAGTTTGGTACTCAGCTTTTTCGCTTTCACCCGCAAATTTGTAATTTTTCACCCCATTGGGATTCGAACTCACGACTTTGCCACTATAAATAACTGTTTCGAGGTTACCACTAGACCACCGGGGCGACCGGTTGTAGGAAACGGGAAAAAACTCCTGTGTGAAGGTGGCTGATAACGTCAAACACATTTAGTACACCGAGTTGTGTGTCGACTGGCGCCAGAATATATGGGATGAACACCCAGACACAGCAGTACGTCGGAACCATGTGTAAAGACGGAGGGAGGGCGATGCATGCGTTTTTGCTCGCGCGTCTTAACTGTTGCGGTAAAATACGAAAAACGTTTCCGTCAACTCCACAAGAGCGTCTCCCCCGCGCCCTTTTCGGAGGCCAATAGACTGCACGATTCGAGGCTTGGGGAGCGTTTTCATAGTGACGCACGCGCCTGATCCCTTGGCCCTCTTTCCTTCCTATCGCCGCTTACTGTCCTTTCTGTGCTTCCCTCTCCCCTCCCCCCGATGATGTCGTGTGTGCTGTTTTCTGGTCCGCCGTCTGTCTCTTTTCAAATCGTGATTTTTTCACGGGTAAAAAAAAAAACACAGCCCCTCACTTCCTGCCGTTCTACCCCACGATCGAGCTGGACACCGGCGCGAAGGTGAAGCAGGTGCCCGACTGGCTGAAGAAGCAAGCCCCGGAGGACGCGGCCACGGGAAAGGAGTACATTGGCCGCCTGATGGGAAAAGTCACGTGAGAAACGGGAAGGAGGGGAGAGACCCCCTCCCCCCTCCCCAAGGGGGGTCGGGCATCCTTCTCTCATTGATATGAGTATGTTTTTTCGTTAACAGCAGTCCGCACGAGAAAATGTAGATACAAACACAGAAAGACTACCCGTTCAATCTTTGTCATCTGTTCACCACATCTTTGGCGTCCTCTTCGTCACCTCTGGTTTCGGTGACGAGTGGGCTGCCTTTGGGAAACGACAACTCAAGGGCTTGGGAATGCGAGAGCGTCAAATATGTGTATTCAGGAGGCCTGCTACTGCAGCTGCTGAAGTTGTCAGATTGGCTGCTAGACTGACATGCACTTGTCGACTCTGTCTTGTTTGTTTTGTAGCACCCGGGAGTGCAAAGCGCGGTCGTCCCCCCGTCCCTCCCCCGAGAAATCGCTCGCTCTCCCATCCACCGGGGACCAGCCCTAACTACAATGCTCTCGCCGCCGCCGCCTGTCCTCCGTCTGGTTGCATGCAGTTTGAAGGTCGAGTGCCTGAGCACGGTCCGTACCAAGCTCCTCGCCTCGCACAAGGTCAACTTTCTCAAGATCCAGAGCAGGTGCCGCTTTTTTCCCTGGCACTGCCGTGCCCCCGCCCCCCCCCCCCCAAGTGTCCCGTTTGCCCTGTTCTCGCGTGCATGACAACAGCGCGATCTGGTAAGCGTGGTCGGCAGAATGGTGTTGAGCTACTGGTATTGCAGTGTCCCGGAGAATGATCTCGTCCGTATCTCTGCTGCCCGAAGTAGGCTGCAACATTGCCGGCAACAGCAGAAATCGCGTGTTGAAGTCGAACAGCAACAGCTAAATTGGCACACACACACACCTCCGATGCCCTGCAGATGTTTTGGGGTGTCACTTGTTGCGAAACTATTATTTTACGAAATGACATTTCTCAGTTTTCCGTAAAGGGTGTGAGACCGTCGGCTGTAGCGCGACTCGAGATGAGCAACCACAGAACCCGGTCGCCCCCCCTGTCCCGCGACTCGAGCCGAGCAACCACGGAACCCTCTCTCCCCCCCCCCGTGCGCTGTCTCTCTCTCTCTCTCTCTCTCTCTCTCTCTGTCTCTCGCCGAAAAACGCGTGCGTGAGAAAGGCCGTGCTTGGTGGTGCGGACGTGGGACCAGGACGGGGAGTTCGCGAGCCGCGCGGGAGAACACGTACCCGTGTGCCGGCTGCTGGACGCCGTCACGACCGGCCTGGTCACTTCGTGTGCGGTCGTCGCCCCTTCGTCGGGCACTACTACTAATGCTGCTGCTGGGAAAAGGGTCGGTCATGCTGCTGCTGTTGGTGTTGCCGCCGCCGCCACCGCCGCCGCAGCCGCTGTCCGTCCGGCGAATGAAGGGTGCGACGGCGGCGATGGTGCCGGGGATGTCCCGGCCGTTGCTGCTTCGGAGACGGACGAGGCCGCCGACCTGCTGCAACACATCTACGCTCTCCAGGTGCGCGAGCAAGCCTGTTTTTTGGGTGGGGAATGGGAGGTTGGCTACTGCTTGAGTAGCGCTGCGGCGTGTCTTGGTATGCGGCCTTGCAAATATGGCGACGTGACGTGGCGGTTCCTGTGCGAGACTACACCCTGTGTTTTTGGTCTGGATGGCGGTTGCAGCGGCTCGGTCGGCCCGGGTCGATGATCGACACGGACCGCAGGTGCCAACCCATTGGGTTGTCGTCATCGTTGCATGCCTTCCTGTTGTCGAGGTTGATGTTGTGTTGTCGGTGTTGATGTTGTGTTGTCGATGTTGATGCTGTTTTCTGTTGCCGCTACTACTGCCATTGTTGTTGTTGTCCGTTTTTTCAGTCTCCGCAGTCGTCCCCGTGGAAGCGGCCGATGCTGAGAGCCCTGAGCACGCACGTGTCCGCCGAAGACGGGTTGACCGTCACATACTTCATCTACACCAGTAGGCTTCTCTTCGAGCTCATCGCGGACCCCGCGATAAGCGGCATGATGAAGAGCCTCGAGCCTGTGGCGCAAGTACGTGGACGGTCGTTACCTTTTGTGTGTATGCCTTTCCGTTTTTTGTTGCTGCTGCGTAAAGCGGCGTTGTTGTTTTGGTCCCTATTTTTTTAGAAAGTATACTTTCACTCGCTTGAAAGACTAGATATGACCGTTCGAGATGATAGTACCCAATTCGATTCCCGTTCTTGTGGTTCGGTGTCTTGATTGGGTGGGACGGGACGCTTGTTTCATGGAGGAGTTTCGTGTCGTTTTTCAGTGTGTTTTGAGGCTGGAACTCGCTTCGCAGGACGTCATTTTTTGCAGCACCGTCGTATTTTAGTACCTCTGGAGCTGGTTGTTCATGTATTGGTGATGTTGTTCGCGTTCTTTTTGTGCCATTGGTGGTAGTGTTTTGGGCATGTATGACGACTCCTTTTCGAGACCACCTGCACCAGGAGCTGTGTACTATTCATTCTGACCACTGTCCACAACGACAAACCCACGTCGCTTCAAGCGGCTCACCCTGTACTCACCCCGCCTCCACCCAAGATAGCAACATCCCAACACACACACACCCCCCCCCCCGCGCACGTGCAGGTGACACCCCCCGCCGTCATCGAGAAACAGCCCGTGCAGTTCGTCTCCACCCGTCCAGGCTTACGACGAACCCCTGCCGCCTCCCCTCCTTCTTCCGCTGCGTCGGGGACCTCCTCGGGCACCGCCGCCGCTCGCGGCCGCGCGGGTGCCAACGGCAGCAGCAGCAGCAGCAGTGGAAGGCGAGGGGGTAGTAGTGCAGGTGGTAGAGGGAACGGCCAGGGAGAAGAAGACCGGAGTAAGCGGGGCGGCCGCGGCGGCGGTGGTGGCGGCTCCAGTATTGGCCTTGCTTCGGTTGCTGTTGCTGCTATGGCGGCGGCGGGTGGTGGTGGTGGTGGCGATGACTCGGGCGTGGCGGCGGCGGCGGGTGGTGGTGATGGTGGCGATGACTCGGGCGTGGCGGCGACGGCTGCGGCGCGGCGGGAGTACGACTTCTCGCTGGCAGGGATACTGAAGTCGGCGGAGAGCTCCGGGTACCGGGTGGTTGACCCCCAGGTGCGTGTGTGTCTTAACTATCAGCAACGACCGCGCCAACCGGCTGACCAATGACCAGATATGGGGTAAAATCAAGATACCTGTGTGCTTTGTTCTCAGCTTCGATCGGGCTAACCGGCTGACCAATGAAAAGACGTCAGTCTCAATGCGGCTGAAAACAGAAAGTGCTTCTAAAGGCCATGATATGGGACCTCGTCTGTGTGTTTGTTAGCGTCGACCGCGCTAACAGGCTGACCAATGAGAAGACGTGTTTCAGTAAGAACAGGCATCGATCACCAGCATCGACCTCGCTGATTGGTCGACCGCTGAATTGGGTAAGGGGGATTATCATCGGGAACGCGTTTCCTTGTCCGCCCCCCCCCCCCCTCGAGACCGCAGGGTATGAAGAGTGCTTCCGTTTTTGGACGCTTGTGCTTGTTTCGGTTTCCTGTTCATGCGGTTATTTTTCTTTTTTTCCGTTCTGTGGGGAGAAACCCGGGGTGCACGCGACGTTTGTGCTGCGTCCCTCGAAGTCGTTGTTGAATCGCACTTTTCTACCGCTGCTCCGTGGTGTCGTCCAGCCGGCGGACCTGACGGTGGACCTTTTCCCGTACCAGCAAAGCAGCTGCCAGTGGATGCTGGACCATGAGAGGGACCCTCGCGGCCTCAACGGGTACTTCTGGGAAAGACGGTGCGTGCGGTAGAACGCGGTTTGTTCTTCTCATGTCCCCGTTTCTGTCAAGGCTCAGGTGTTTTTCTTCCTCGTTTGTGGGATTGAAGAGGGGGGAAAGAAACACAAACGCAAGGTAAGGTAGGACCCCCGCAGCCTCATCGGTTCGTGCGGTCTACGGTGTCCTCCAAAAGTACGGCGGATGCAGATGGGGCAAGTAGTTCCCGCCATGCGCCGTCATTTTCCACCCTGCGTTCTTGTTACTATCACTTTTTTTTTTTTTCCCCATGGGTGCTCTATGATGTAATTTTACACGTGAACAAACAGTTCTGTCTGCGTCCCAGAATTATGTTCGGCATTGGCATGAAAAACCCGTTCTTCTCTATCGTTTTGTTATTTTTTTGCCGCAAGCCCTTGTCACTGTTGTCATGCATTGAAATGAATGATTCGGCCGCACGGTCGTGTATTTCAGCCTCCGGTGTTGGTAATGCATGGCCTACCCTAGGCGTTAGTTGGGCGCACCTTAGCAGCTGTGGTTTGGTTGCTGCTGTTGCTGCAGCAGCTGCTGCTGCCGCCTTCGTGTTGCGTTGGTGCATCCAACAACAGCAACGACACACGCTGAGTGCTTGGTTCGGAGCATCAATGATATTTATTTCCACACCTCGCGGCTACTACTACGCTGTAATATGGCGGCCACAGGCCTCCGTGTAGTGTGTGCCAACCCCCCGGTTATTCCCCCCTGTCTCTCCTCTCTCTCTCCCCCCTCCCCCCTCCTGTCTGCTTGTGTTCGCCAGGGAGTGGGCGGATGGCGGGGCCCCGCTGTGGTACTTTCCCCTGGCGGGGGAGTTCCGCCTGGCGGAGCCGCCTCACATCACGGGGGGACTCCTCTGCGAGGAGATGGGGCTGGGGAAAACGATAGAGGTGCGGCGTGATTAGCTTGCGTGGGGCGTGCATTGCAGGTGTAGTATCGTTGATGTGGTCTAGAGCGGCCGGTGCTTAAAGCAGTGCTCGCTGGTTGTGCTCCCTGACGGCCGAAGCCGCACGGTAGGACATGGAAAAGGCCCTCAAGACGTTAACCTTTTCTTCTCCCTTATGAGGATGCCTCCCCACCTCCCCGTATGTGTAGATCGGATAGGGAAAACGTTTTTGGGCCGACGTAGGAAAGTACGATTGGCCATCGGTGATCGGTCTTGCGGGAACAATGCTCCGTCCGCTCGAGGACGCGTGGTCACACACCAATCATGAGTACGCCCGCCCCCTCTCTCTAGGATGATGAACAGCGTCTGATCCATCCTTTTGAAACGGAAGCCTGGGCCGACGAAAACCCAGCGTGGCGGTCGCTCCATCCCGACATGTTAGGGATGCGAGCTGAACGCGTTTACATGAGCCCCCCCCCCGTCCCCGTCCCCGTCCCGTCCCGTATCTATGCCTATGCAAAGGTGCTGTCGACGATTCTTGCAAACCCTCGCGACGGAGGCTCGCACTCCTCACTCAAGCACCGCAAGTCGCTCCGGGAGCAGCCCGACCGCCACTTCGACAGCGCGAGGAGGCTGGTGTCTCGCGCCACGCTCATCGTCGTCCCCGTGTCGCTCGTCGGACAGTGGGCAGAGGTGGGTCTTGAGGGAGGGCGGCAGGTGCAGGGGGGGCAGGGCGCGCTTTTGGTGGCGGTTCTGCAGGGGGGTAGTTTTTTCTTGGTTCGCAGGACGGGGGGGGGGGGGGGGGGGGGGGGTCTTTTTTTACCCCCCCCCGGTTTTTTTTGGGGGTCCGGGGCCCCCCCCGGGGCCCGGTTTTCCTTTGTTTTTAAAAAAAACGGCCCCCCCCCCCCTTATTTTTTTCCCCC